TCTCTTCCTTTCTCTGCCGCCCTCTCGCTCGAGGAGGGCGCATTGGGGCGCGCTCGCTACTTGTGCATCACTCGTGAACAACCGTCCCGACTCGAGCCGATCTTCGACTCGAGTCGAGGGATCTCTCTCGCTCGGGTAATCCAAGACTCTTCTTTTTTTTTCTTCCTCTTTCAAGTCGATTTCTTTAGCCGCGATTTTAAAGCCGGGGAACGGGATCGACCGATACGCCGATACGCTTTTAGAGCATCCCGCGTACATTTAAAATTAAGGTCAAACGAGAGTCGCTCTCACGAGGGGCTGACGAGATTAAATACTCCTTATCGCAAGAGAATCTATACGTCGTGTCGCAATTCGTTTAGCACGAATGGCGGCCAGTTATCAGTCACTTTTTCAAAGTTATTAATTCAAATTTATAACTGAAAGTGTATGAATCGCTGAGATGCAGGTCGACTGACCGAGAGTGCACACATTCATGCGAGGCGGGACGTCCGGGGCCAAAGGACTCGGAAGTTACGACATCCGGCGCACAATACCGCTTCCTGTCACTCGCGACCTTTGATCTCCGTTTGTCCCACGTGCGATGCCACCTCGTTCACATGCACAATAACTCTGTACGACGAGGCGCCATGCTGTTGCCGCGGCGAATCCCATGGCGATCGATGGGTGCAAGAAGGAAACAGACTTGTGATAATCGAGTGAAAGAACCGCACGTGCATATACATAACTTACACAAGCTTGAAAATTCAGAAGCAGCTACGAGACATTATGTTATGTACTTGGAGACCGGTAAGTTCGTTCCTACTTCAAGACTGTCTTAAGATGTTAATATGGCTTTGTGATTGCTTCGTGACTTCTTAAAACTGTACTTAAGAACAGTCTTAAATATGGTATAGTAAGACAAGTAGAACATTGCGCGTAATAGCAATAGCAATATTGGAAACAATCAAATTTAGGCCCAAATGAACCTTCCTGCACTGAAAAAATTTATTAAATCTTAATACATATTTCTTTATAGTAGTAAGTAAACATAAATTTACAGTAAGTAAATATTTACTCAATAAAAAAAGTTATAGAGTTAAATTAATGATTTTTGTATCAAATAAATGTTTAAATTTAGCAAATATTTCAATACTTAGAAATATTCAAACATATATTTATTCAAATTTAATATTTGTTATAATGTACATATAATGACAATAGCACATTGGAATAATCAAATTTGGATCGAGATTTACTTTCCTACTGCACACCCACGGGAATGTTACACCTATCTTATTACGTCATGATCTTAAATATAAGAATCGACTATGAACATAAGTCCCAGAGTTCTAGACAGATAGAAAACAATGGAATGACATCTTTGCGGAAGTTTTTTTTAACGATTGTCGCTTCGCTCGAATAACGGTACTTAATCGAATAAACAACGGTACATAGAAAACGATCGCGAGAGGGGGTTTATCCTCATTGATCTCGAAAGTCTCGGGGCTTTTCACGCCTGTGGCGGGGAAGACTTTCCACGCGCGACGCGCTGCTCCGATTTCAAAAGGCGTCGACAATGGATGATTGATTCCTTTAGATCGTCACGCGCGGTTCACCGGAGAAAGGCTCGGCGAAAGGATCGGGGGGCCCTTATTTACCGTTGCCGGTAGGGCCCAATCCTGGGTACGTCACGTGCCGTGGTGCAATGATATACTATGCGATGTCGAGACGAGCTGAGAGTTGCGTACATACA